GATGTTTTCTTTCCTTTAGTCAGAATAGGATGCTCAGTCTTCACAGTTTTATCCTTGGAAGGCTTTGTCATAATTCCTGAGATTTACTATCTGAAACTAAATCTCAATTGCTATATTATAACCCTTTTTAATTGTGAAAATACTGAACATCAGTCTTTTCTTGGAACTCTATTTCTTAAAATTTTTGCTTTGATTTACACAATAGCCTTCTGCTAGTAGACTTGCTGTATTAATTTTTAGTCAATGATAGCCAAGTTTTAATCAAGAAAAACGCTGCAAGGCTAGCCAGGAAGTATCGAAATCTGTTGCTTTACATCAGAAGCAGTATATTTTCTAATGATTCTGAGAGTTTAAGTGCGAGAAAATGTGTAAGGTTTAGACTCCAGGTTTAAAGAAGACAAGAACTAAAAGGTAGCAGGCTCAGAATCTCCTGCTAACTTGCTACTACCTAGGTGTATAATCCTAAACAACGCTCTTAACACATCTGATTAGATTTCCTCATCTGCTAAAAAATTAAATGATGTTCAAGATTATTTTTCGGATCCAAAGTTATATGATTCCGTAATGTGGTAAGGTTACCACAATACATTATGAACTTTTATTTTATTTTATTTTATTTTTATTTTGTTGCACAAAAATGAATATTCAATGGGATTTTTTGATATCTCTATCTTTTCTTAAAATAAAATATGATCCTTCTGAAAATATTAGGACAAAAGAACAAATCAAGAAAGTATCATTAATGCAGGAGAGGATGCCCCTAAAATTTAGGACAAAGAGTAGAAAATATCACTCTCCAAAACAAATGCTACTAAGGTTTAATATAAAAGGACAAGATTAATCATCTATGGAAACCCATTTGAAAAAAAAACCCAAACCCAATTAACAAGGAGCATAGATTGTCTCTTAAAACTCACAAAAATGTATCTATTTAATTTTTTGATATATCATGTAAGCAATGATTAATATATCCCAATATATTAATTAACCTTATTTAAAATAGGAATATGCCCTAGCAGTAGAATAATTCACAACTATTGTAATTTCAGAAGCTTTTGGTAGTAGAAGTAACATTGGAAAATACTATTGAACAATGTGGCTTCCCTAAGTACTGTAAGTCAGAGGGGCAGGAATTATGACTTTAATCTAATCTAATTTCACCTATCACTGCTATCTAGATGAAATATCTCTAGATCAGAAAAAGTAAAACACAGCACACATTAGCTTTGACTGCCTCTCCAACAACGGAACCATTATTTAGCCTCACAAGGCAGCAAATGCACAGGCTCGGCATTCTCTCCTGTTTCTTTGTCCCAACAAGCAACGACGAACTGGGCCACTTCTGAACAAACGCTAATTCATCCACCTTTGCCACTTAACCATCTAGGAACTAGGTTATGCCCTATGATATTATAACATGCCTAGATGGCTGAATTTTTGTATTTCTTGTGACTTTAAATGAAAAATAATCCTTATAAAAAGAGCTCAAATGAATATATTTGAGAGAGTTACTTAAACATATATATTTATACCTAAGTTTAAAACTTTAATGTCCAATATAGGACCTAAAAGCTTAAGTTCAAATTCTAGCTCTACGGCCTACTAGCTATAAGACCTTGAACAAATTACCAAGCCCTCTCCTCCTCCTGACTCACCTGAACATCCAGGGCAATACCTCTTAGGGTTGTTTTTAAGATTAAATAAGAAAATATATGTAAAGAGCTTAGAACAGGGTCTGGTATACCTACATAAATGTTCAATAAGGGATAACTTTCATTATTTATTATTCTTTCATTCGTAGACTTCATTTGAACTCCATATAACTGTTCCACAAGCTCCCACAATACTTTATTATAATATGCTTATGACATTTCAACTAAAGTATTAAACCTCTTTTTCTCCTATTTTGTCATGTGACGTTTGGCTTCTTTTGATTTTTTATCTTTAATGCTCTATTGAATTTTCCCTTCAAATTACAAAGGCAATATAAGCAACAAGCCAGATAACAGAGATGTATAAAGAAAAGCTAGCAATCTCCCACTTCCCCAGGGTAATTCCTATAACACACTTGCTTATATCCTTCCACGCTTTCCTTTATTCTTACGCAAACCATAATATGAAGACTCATGTGTATGTCAATAGTCCAGTATATGTCTTTCCATACTTTTCTTCATGTTCATATAAATGTCCATATTCATAAGTGTGTGTTTCCTAATTGGTACAAATATATAATTATACTAGTCACAATAAGCTCTAACTTTTGGGTTTTACTTGACAAAAATACATAAATATCCTTTAGGCCAAAAGTTATAGCAGATAACTCATTCTTTGTAATAACTGCATAACAATTCATAGTATGAATAAAGCACCATTTATCCAAGCATTACACTTCTGAAGGATACTCAGATTGTTTCCAATTTTTATTTTTGCCCCTGTAATTCATGTAGCAATAAACATCCTTGTTCAAATATCCTTATACGTTGGTGTTTTTATTTTTATTTGATAGATGCGGAGAAATAAGATTTAGAATTTATATCCAAAGCGCTATTTTAAATGCTTTACATTTAATATCCCATTTAATCTTGATACAACCAGATGAGGTATCATTATTATTGTTGTTTTTAAGTATGATGAAATTTAGGTAAATAACTTGTCCAAAAGATTTCCAAGCAGTCTAACCTCCAAGTTTTTGCTCTTTACATTTCCCTTACCCAGAAATTGCCTGATTACTTTCCCCAGAGGGTGTACCTACTCACAGTCCTTCCATGATAGATTCTACTAACCATCCAAAGCCTTCCGTTGTGCACCACAGAACAGTTTACCTGGTGATGGGACAGCAGCAGTAGGAAATGTGCTTCCTTGGGTGCACAAATCCTAGCTTGTTGGCTTACAAACACAGTTAAGTGTGTTCCCTATAGTCCAAAGGCCTTTTACAATGTGGAATCTGGTTACCTCCTCGAGGACTCTTTAGGTCTCTCTCTCTTATAGTAGTTGCGATTAAAAAAAATTAATACGTTTGCTAGTGAATGGAAAGCAGGACACTCCATTAGAACGGGGTGTCTCTGCTAGCTTCCAGATCTACAACTCAGGAAAGCAGATGCCAGGAAGTTTCCATTCATAGGCTAAATGTTGTTAAAATTTTTACTTAGTCTTCAGTCTTTTCATGTTTACAGAATGAAGTCATTCTTTCTCCATCTCTCAAAACCAAAATTTCCAAAACTAATTAAAATTATAATGGCATCTACTGTTTTTATTTTATGTGTCTTTATTAATTTCATTTATTTCTCCTAAAAGTATTTCAAAATGTTGCAATAGAGTCCTGGGGACTTCAGCAAAGGGTGGTTTTTGTTTTGTTTTGTTTTGTTTTTGTTTGTTTGTTTTTTGAGACAGAGTCTCGCCCTGTCACCCAGGCTGGAGTGCAGTGGCGCAATCTCCGCTCTCTGCAACCTCCGCCTCCCGGGTTCAAGCGATTCTCCTGCCTCAGCCTCCCAAGTGGGTGGGACTACAGGCACCCGCCACCATGCCCAGCTAATTGTATTTTTAGCAGAGACAGGATTTCACTATGTTAGCCAGGCTGGTCTCAAACTCCTGACCTCATGATCCGCCTGCCTCAGCCTCCCAAAGGGCCAGGATTACAGGCGTGAGCCACAGTGCCCAGCCCGGGTGTGGTTTTTACTAATAAAATAAATGAACTAAATTAAACTAAGCAATATGTATCTGCTTTTCCTTTAGAAGAGTACAACTTAAGGGCATGATATTTTATTTTGGCACCTATGGTGAGACAGGAATAAGAAACAATAAATGCTAAATATTGTACCCAGTCCATCATATTTTAGCAAATAAACAGTTGGAGACACAATGGGATAATTATAGAATACCAGGAAAGAATTTATTGCAGTTCATAGGGAGTGTGTACATGGTCATTTGACAAAGAAAGAGTCTGACGTTTCTGCCTCAAGAAATGCAACAGGAGATGCTCTGTGTTAAAGATCCTCATGCTGAGAGTATTAATAACTACTTTGCACCCACAGAAACACTACCGATCTAGCAACTTCTGTGGATAACCTGAGGTTGAACTGGCACCACTGCCTCTCTGGTAGCAAGATGGTGTTAAGCAAGTTCTTCTGGGAAAATGAACTGAAATGACTTCCTGAAAACCTCTTCCCTTAAGGGAAAAAAAAAAAAACAAAAAAAACTGAAAGATGAACTCCTACTGAAGAATTACCAGGCAGTCAAGGAAGCTGCCAGCATGTAAAATTGCCTCTGCGGTTGTCAGACTTGGAAACTTTGGGTGGCAACTGCACGGTTAGGATAAAATTAGGTTGGTGAATAAGGTCAGCTCTGGGCAAGAGCCAATAGTGACCAGAAATAGCTAAAGTTTGTGATTTGGGGCTTAAAATTTACTAAAATTTGTAAATGTTAACGTATTCTACATTAACTTATTTTACACCCACCCTCCCCTGCCGGTCAGTTAAGTATGGAAAGCATTATTAGGTCCATTTTATAGAGAAGGAAACACATTCAGAGAAGGTATTGTAACTTGTCCAGGGGCTTCATATTTCATCGACTAGTCAGCAAGCATACCATGCTTCTGCTTCAGGTGATGGGAAGGAGGCATCGTTAGGGTCACACTACAGAGTTCAGCAGTTTCCTCTCCACAGAAGCAAAAGAGACCTTCCTAAACCCGCTGATTGCCTAGAACCACATCACAAGTCAAAATGCCTGCGGGTTGGGCCCACTGTGACAAGAGTGGGGACGTGAGAGCGGCAGAGTAGGGACGTGACAAGGCCTTGCCCTGGCTGGGGTGAGCTGTAGGGAGGTGGCAGGACGGACCTGGGGCACTACCGAGCAGAGTTGCTCACTGCGGGGTGCTGCCGGCTCCGCAGGTGCCCCACCTGCGCAGCTCGCGCCCCGCCCGCCACCTTCCCTGAGTGCTCTGAGCTGCAGGTTCTGCGCTCCGCTAGCCCCTCAGCCGCTCGCCCCTGGCTATGGTCACTCACTCACGGTCCGGGACACCTTCAACTCCTTGTTGAGCCACTGGCACAGGATCTCCGACATGGTTTAGCCGGTGCCTCAGACCGCAGGCGGGTGCTAAGAAACTCGCCAGGAACAAAGCCCGCCCTCCCGCGTCCTCCTGTTGCCAAGGGCAACCCTTTGCTAAGGAAGCGTATCTAGGCTGGAACTAGACGAAAGGCATAGAGAAGAGGGGACGCCAGGGCTCAGCCGCAGACGACAGAAAATCGTGTTCCGCCACCTGCTGGCGGGTAAGACCTGAGCGTGCGCCAGTGCGGGAGGAGGCAGTGGGGGCCTGTGAGAGAAGTTAGGGAGCAGTGGGTGTGGGCAGGGGCGAGGCGGGAACACTTAGGGACACAGCAGGGGCTTCTTAGGTGAGCAGAAAGAAAAACAGGAGTCTCTGCAGGGCTCCGTGGCTCACGCCAATAATCCTACCACTTTGTAGAGGGTGTGGCGCTCGCTTGACGCTGGGAGTTCAAGACCAGCCTGGGCAAGGTAGCAGAAACTTTTTTTTTCTATAAGAAATTAAGCGGGCGTGGTGGCTTGCGCCTGTGGTCCAGCTGTTCAGGATGCTGATGTGGAAGGATCAACCCAGGAGGCAGAGTTTACAGTGAACCGAGATCGAGCCACCGCACTCCAGCCTGGGCAACAGAAGGAGACTCTGTCTCAAAAAAAGAAAAAAGAAAAAAAGAAGAACAAGAAGGAGAAGGAGAGGGAGAGGAAGAAGAGGAGGAGGAGGGGGAAGAGGAGGAACAGGAAGAAGAGAAGAAAGGAGAAGGAGAACAAGAAAGAGGAGAACCAGGAGAGATCAAAGAAGAGGAAGAAAAATTAAAAAGAAGAGGAAGAAGAAAAAGGGTATTTGTGGTATCCATCACCTTGAGTATTTATCGTTTATATACGTTGGTAACATTTCAAATCTTCTCTTCTAGCTATTTTGAAATATACAATGTATCATTGCTAACTATAGTCACCCTAGTTGCTAGCTAACATTAGACCCTATTTCTTCCATCTAACTATAAGTTTGTACCCATTCACCAACCACTCTTCATTTCCCCTTCCCACCCTCACATCCTTTCCAGCCTGTGGTACTGATAATTTTGTTCTCTATCTCCAGGAGATCAACTTTTTTAGCTACCACATGTGAGTAAGAACATGCAGTATTTGTCTTTCTGTTGCCTGATCTATTTCACTGAACATAATGGCCTCCAGTTCCATCTATGTTGCTGCAAATGACCTGTTTTCATTTTTTTCTGTAGACAAATGGTATTCCATTATGTATATATACATTTAAGTCTTTAATCCATCTTGAGTTGATATTTGCATGTGGTGAGAAATACTTTTCAGCTTTTCTCTTCTGCATATAGATAGCCAATTTATCCAGCACCATTTATGGAAGAGGGTGTTCTTTCAACATAGTTCTTGGTACTTCTGTTGAAAATCAGTTGTCTGTAAGTACGTGGATTTATTTCTGGGTTCTCTATTCTGTTAGGTTGTTCTTTGTGTCTATTTTTATACCACTACCAAGCTGTTTTGATTACCATAGCCTTGTAATGTAATTTGAAGTCAAATATTGTGCTGTTTCCAACTTATGCTGTATTAATTACTATAGCCTTGTAATATAATTTAAAGTCAGATACTGTGCTGTTTCCAGCTTTGTTCTTTATGCTTAGGATTGCTTGGCTATATGGGTTCTTTATTGGTTCCATATGAATTTTAGGATTGTTTTTTCTATTTCTGTGAAAATGATATTGGTATTTTTATAGGAATTGAATCAAATCTATAGATTGTCTTAGGTAACATGATCATTTTAATGATATTAATTCTTCCAATTCATGAACATGGGGTGTCTTTCCGTTTGTTTGTGTCCTCTTCAATTTCTGTCATCAATGTTTTGCAATTGTTCTTGTAGAGTCTTTCATTGCCTTGGTTAAATTTATTCCTAGGTATATATTTGTACTGTACTAATTGTAAATGAAATTGCTTTATTTATTTATTTATTTATTTATTCATTCATTCATTGGTGGAGATGAGTTCTTTCTATGTTGCACAAGCTAGTCTTGAACTCCTGGGCTCAAGCAATCCTCTGCTGTGGTCTCCTAAAGACTTGGGACTACAGGTTTGAGCCACTACACCTGGCCTTGATTTATTTTTCAGCTATTTCAGTATTAGTGTACAGAAATGCTACTAATTTTTGTATGTTCATTTTGTATCCTGTTACTTTATTGAATTTGCTTATCAGCTATAAAAGCTATTTGGTTGTTTTTAAATTTTTCAAAATACAAGATTATGTCATTTACAAAAAGAGACTATCTTCCAATTTAAATACGTTTTCTTCCTTCTCTTGCCTAATTTATTTGGCTAGGACTTTCAGTTCTCTCTTGAATAAGAGTAGTGAAAGTGGGCATCCTTGTCTTGTTCCAGTTTTTAGAGAAAAGGCTTTCAACTTTCCTCCATTCAATATGTTAGCTGTGGGCTTGTCATATATGGTCTTTATTATTTTGAGGTATGTTCTTTCTATGCCTAGTTTGTTGAGAGTTTTTATCATGATGGAATGTTGAATTTTATTAAGTGCTTTTTCTGCATCTATTGAGATCATCACATGGTTTTTGTCCTTCATTCTGTTGGTGTGATGTATAACATTTATTGGTGTGTGTATGTCAAACCATCCTTGCATCCCTGGTATAAATCCCCTTTGATCATTGTGTATTATCTTTTTGATGTGCTATTGAATTCAGTTTGCTTGTATTTTGTTAAGGATTCTTGCATCTATATTCATCAAGATATTAACCTGTAGTTTCCTATTTGGGTTGCATTCTTATCTATTTTTGACATCAGGGTAATACAAAGAATGCATCAGGGAGAATTCACTCCTCCTCAGTTTTTTAAAGAATAGTTTGATGAAGATTGGTATTAATTCTTTATACATTTGGTAGTATTCAGCAGTGAATCCATCTGGTCCTGTGCTTTTGTTTGTTAGGATAATTTTTATTACTGATTCATTCTCTCTAGTTGTGATTGGTCTGTTCAGGTGTTGTATTTCTTCCTGATTCAATCTTGCTAAGTTGAGTTGTTCCAGAAATGTATCCATTTCCCCTGAATTTTCCAGTATGTTAGCATAGTTGTATATAATAGTCTCTGATAATAGTTTATATTTCAGTGATATCAATTGTAATATCTCCATTATCATTTGCTGATACTATTTGGGTTTTCTCTCTCCTTTTATTGATTACTCTAGTTAGCAGTTTATCAATTTTGTTTATCTTTTCAAAGAACCAACTTATCATTTTGTTGACCCTTTGTGTTTCTTTTTTATTAAAGTCCCTATTTTGTTTAGTTCTGTGCTGTTTGTTATTTCTTGCTTTCTGCTAATTTTGGATTTGGTTTGTTCTTGCTTTTCTTGTTTCTTGAGGTGTGTTGTTAAACTGTTTATTTGAAATTTTTCTACTTATTTGATGTGGGCATTTGATGCTATAAACTTTCGTATTAGTTCTACTTTTGCTGTATCCCATAGGTCTTGGTATGTCGTGTTTCCATTTTCATTTGTTTCAAGAAATTTTTTAACCTCCCTCTGAATTTTTTCATTAACCGATGGAAGTTCAGGAGCATGTTATTTAATTTCTGTGTATTTATATGATTTATGTGGTTTCCAAAGATTCTCTTTATATTGATGTCCATTTTTATTCCACTGTGGTCTGAGAAGATACTTAATATGATTGCAATTTTTAAAAATTTTTTGAGACATGTTTTGTGGCCTAACATACAGTCTATCCTAGAAAGTGTTCCATGTGCTATTGGAAAAAAAAAATGTATTTTGTGGTAGTTGAATACAAAGAGAGTCTTGATTGAAAATTTATGTTTGTCTTTTCAAGAAGCCATATTGAGGCTCTTGTTCTAATGGCAGCGATTTTGTCATTGATTTACAAATAGTTTTAGTTGCTATATTATATGGGCTACCCTTGCATTAACAGAATGTATCTTATTCCTTTTATTCTCAGACCTAGTATAGGACCTGACATGCAGCTAGCATTCAATAATTTTTATTGGCAATGGTGGCAGAACTAACAATTAGGATTATTGACATCTCTATATTGTTTTGAGAGGTGAGATTTTATTAAACTACTTTTCTAGTCAGTTTTACCTTTCAAGTAATTATTTAAAATTGTATTTTGACAAAAACTCATCCGTGGCATGCTAATTCAGTTTTAGCAAAAATGCGGCTGGGTTCATTCAGTGAAAATCCCCAACCTTGGATATCTGATCAAATTCTAATCTTCCACCATTCCCAGGACTTATCACTATGGCCTGTCTTCAGCAAGAAGAATCCTGTCAAGTCAGTCTAGCTAGAATTCCCCTGACCCTGACGTTTCCTTTTAGTAATTTTTTATCCACTGATCACCACCATGCTCTTTGGCTATAAATCCCCACTTTTCTTTGTATTTGGAGTTGAACTTGATTTTTCTCCCCTATTGTAAAACCCCATTGCAGTGGTTCCTTGAATAAAGTCTTTGTTACCCTCTTTAACAAGTATCAGAAAAATTTTTGTTTAACAATTTCTAAAGGTTTAGATGGAATGATAGAAAAAAAAGTATATATATAAAATCTATGCATTATCTTATATGTACAGTAATATAGAAGTAATTGTTTGTTGTAAATACAAGAAACTTCCTGCAATGAGACCAAGATACACCAAATTATGATTCTTTTCAATCATTGGCACAGTAACAGTAATGTCCAATTAGACCAATCTCTCTTGAGATTGATCTGAAGTTAATCTGGGTGTCCTGTTGAATAAAAACTTAGTACCATTACTAAGTACTTAGTACCATTTCGTTCTTGGCTTTACTTCTAAACATCCCATCACATGAGTTTTCTTGGTATCTCTAATGTGTGCACATTGTCATTTTGGTTTGATGGTTCTGTTTCAAATATGTTCTTATAGTAAACTCAAATTTCTTCTCCAGAGAACTGTCTGACTTCCTATGTCCATTTTATAGAACTAACTAATTGTATTTAGTAACAATATCTCAGGAAGTGGGAAGTCCAAGCAGGATATGATCTTATTCAGAGTAATTATCTTAACAACTTATGGAAAAATGTGGATTATTTTGGTTGAGGTAAAACGGCCTAATCAACCCAATATAGCAGGTAGGGCTACAGTTGGAATTCTGAGAGAGCTTTATTGCCACAAAATTGGAGCC